GTACCACTTCTCAAAAACATTTTTAATTTCTGTTTGCCATACTCGTTCTCTTTTAAATCCTCCTTAAAACACACCTTCAGCATGTCTTTAAAAAACAGGAGGGAGGAAAGGAAGGAGAGAGAAAAGAAAGGAGAAGAGGGTAAAAAACCTAACCTTGACAATGGATTAGTTGTTGATGTGCTGAGACCACTGCCTGTACTACAGGCTGATACTGTCTCATTGTTTTCTCATACTCCCCCCATCTGTTTGCATCCATCTGCTGCCCCTTGTTTTATATTTGGAATTTTAGTATTTTGGAGCAGGGACTGACTTTTTGTTCTGTACGGGTAGAAATCCCACTTCTGTGGGGCTTGGCTCATAACAAGTACTTATACATGCTACAATGATACAGCAACATATATGACTGATAATAATATATATAACAAACATTTAAAAAAAATTTATGTTCCTTGAAGCTGAAAGAGATGATCCTTAATGCTTCATCATGATGGAAAGTCTTCTATTTACAATACTCTAAAAAGTACCGAAGTCTTTTTGTCATTACAACTAGTTTGCCATTTGTCTGCACGTGCAAAGCAGGAGAATGCAAACAGATTTCTGAATTTTACTGTTGAGGTTTGTATGAGGTTTAGTTTGCTTTCACATAAAAATTATACATCCTTCTCTGTCTTTCATGCAAACACCCCAAGACTATTAATGCAAGTGGGTGTATCACGTCAGCATAAAAACTCTCAGACCTGGCTGTAAACTTTGACCTGCCTTGCTCATACCAGGCCCTATTTAGAGACAACTGGAACCACAGCATGCTATACTTGAGTCTATACTTCTAAGACAAATGGCAAAATTTCAACTATACCACCTAGAAATCACTCATAAAGTAATATGAAAGTCTCCTAAAGAAAACTACTGGTCTAGTTTTCCAAAACCCAAAACATTTCCCCATCCAACACAGACAGTAATATTGGTTATACACATTAGAGTTTGGATTTCCATAGATGCATTTGCATATGCAGTATATTACACATAGATTGTCTTTTTTTCCCCATAAGCATTTTAATGAACATTATTCAATTGTACTACTATTATTTTGGAATGAAATCTACACTGTAATTATAAGTATCTACAGTTACATGCTTATCTCTGGGTTGATGTCATCCAGTGTTGTGACAATTAAAAAAACCTGGGACCTTAAACTTAAATCTCATTGAAAAGTTAATTACAGAGCTGCACACAAGGTCCTATCTAATGCCAAAGTACTCTGATGCCTAATTTAACCTCGCTTAAAACATACATATATATTTTCCCACCCATTTCTTTAGAGAGTGTCTTCAGAACTTTTTATAGCCCTAACATCACTCCCCTGAAACCTTTCAATTTTCATGTTTTGAAGATTTTTAATCCTCAAAATAATAAAACCTTGTCTATGGCCCACAGAAAGATTAAGACTAGAATCCTCAATTGCGAATAGCCAAGGTTCATTAATAATCATTTCTGCAGAGGAAATAAAAAACAAAAAATAAATAAAGGTTATAAAAGGTCACCTTTTCACAGTAACTAAAATTCGCCTTTTCTTTTCAAAGACAAGAAAAAGGGTAGCTGTAGCACAGAGTGCTTAGAAAGCACTATCTTTCAAGATAGGAAAGAAATTCCAGGTGACATCATTTTTGGCCAAAGCTCAAAGGCTACTGTGAAAGGATACAGCTCTTCCCAATTATTCCCCACGTAAAGATCAAAATGAAGGCAAAGGGCCAATTCTTCTTCCTCATCCCAAATGTGCTATGTGATTACCTACATACTCACTGCATATGTGAGAAGTATTTTTTATCAGTAAAGCCACAAATGCTCCTTAAATAGAACTGAAGTAGAATTCTTCCCCACTCTGCTTTATTAATGATGATGATCAAAGACTAAAGTGGGTTACACAAAGCAACACCGGACAAGATAAAAACAGTGTTCTGAGGCTATGTTGGTTTGCGGGGGGGTCACTGAGGGTATACATCCTGTCACCCAGAGTACTAGTTTCGTTCCAAAGAAGCATAAGGGAGTTTAAAAAGCCAGATTAATTTTTTTTTTTCCCAGGCCTCTGCCTATACAGATAAATTATACCAGCAGAATCCAGATTTTTAAACTGGTTCTGGCTGCATAAATGCCTTAGCAGAAGCAATTTACATTAACATATTTTATTTTGCAGTTGAAGTGGGCTAGGAATGCACACCCACTCAGTTACCGTGACTCAATCAAGAGTATCTCTTTAAGCTACAATTGCTTGATTACTTGCAACTGCTTGTCTCTACCTGAAAAGAGCTGAACTGATTCTGAACCAGCCAATTCAAGTAAGCTCACATTTCTGAATTTACCTCTGAAAACCAGTATCAACTAGTTTTAAGCTTCTACAGTGAATTTCCCACCATTATAATTACATCACCTTCATTTATCTTTAAAAGATGTATTTATATCTTTAAAGATATATATAGCACTGGAAGCACTATCAGAAGTATTTAAAATAACTTCATTCTCTCTGGTCTTCCTGTCATTCATGACAGAGTAAGCAGATAACACAAGACCAGGGAGAGAGTAATGCTCAGGTGTGGGTCTTTAAAATAATGAGCTTGACAGAGCTGGATATAAAAGTTCTAAACTACAGAACAAGTATCATACAAAGCAGAGCTGTGCAAACTTTCCAGTGTTCAACTCCAACAGTACTACAAAAATAATGCCACAGCCTTGGCCTTTTCTGCTTAAATAACAAGCTGTAAGCAAGAGCCAAAGATGTCTATCATTTGGAAAGCAGAAAGTAGACTGAGACCACACTCTCACTTTACAGATAGCTACAAAGATTACATGAAGATAGGACTGTAAAGACATATCTTTAAGTCCCTGCCAACCTAATCAAGATGGTATTAACAGTGATCTCACACTCCATCTGCCTGGCTAGTAATTTATGAAAAATGTACTTCACTATTACAGGAAAAATATGTTGCACTGCTTGTGGCCACAAACCTACTGCAGCAGCTCAGGAACTCTTGGATCAGAGGCTGTGCAACCAGTTCTTGATATTTACCAGGTACTGCCCATGAGACCTGATTCATTCATACAGCGATTTTGTTTGCCCTACTCATGACCTCATCTTCAGACAGATAAAATATATGACAAAAACTTACAGTCCCTTGCAATTTAGAGTGCAAAATCATACTGGTTTATTTTTCATCCTGTGCATTCTACATAGGTACTTCACTTACCTTCATAGGATTCTTTTTTTTGAGTGAAAAATCTCCCTATTCTTGCACCTGATGAGCAATCATTTCTGTTTAAATTACTCCTTTTCCTGCCAGAAAACCTCATCTTGCTTACAAGAACTGTATTTCTTCAATTAATATTACATGACTGTTCCTTTAGCTTACATTTCCTAAGAATCAGACCTATGGGACTTGCTAGCTGCAGAAAGGATTTTTTTGTTTGTTCAGTTGGGTTGAGGAGGGGGTGGGTAATGGTGGTGATGGTGTCAAAGTGGAAAACAATATGAATCCTCCAATTTCCATCAAGGCAAAGTTCAGGGGCAGCATTTTAATACCAGAATTACATAAAATGACTTCTGGGTATCAAAATAACAACAATGACAAAACAAACAAACACACACACCAGTATCAACACACTGGAATTAATTGCTAACTATGCATTTCTTCACTTAGCAGAACTACCATTTGGATCATCTTCCTAGATGCTGCAGCAAAGAAATACATGATATGCAACAAAGAACATGGTAAAGCAGGACGAAAAAACACTATTGTAGTTCTACAGTAGTTCTTTCTGCTGCACATTGGGGAAAAGGTATCTAGGAAAACACTAACTGCAGTAAATGAGTATATTAGGATATTCAGAGCAATAACTAAGGAGTTACAACCTATGACCTAGTCAACTCCTACTCATATGAGCAACCTAAAGATATCACTGATTTTATGCTGAATAGCAAAAAAGGCAAAATGAACACCTATTATTATAAGAAGACTTGCATGTTCAACATCATTTGCAAGACTTCTGTCACAATCAGAATTGCAGTTTTCCTCCTCTAGTTGTTGGAGAAGAGATGGTCTTGGAGCATGAGATTATTTTCTTACCAAATAAAATACACAAATTACTTTGTATACCCCTCTATAAAACTAAACACCCCTATTTATTATACTGCAGTACGTTAATGCAATTTTGAAAGAGACCAGGCAAATCTTCCAGTGTTCCTTTGAAAGTTTCTAGCTGTAATACCCACAACTCATATACAGGAAGATTTTTTGCACTGTTATACTTCCTCCCCTTTTATCATTCCCCTTTATATTTTCATTTCTATTCAGAAACACTCTTCCACCAATCCCACTTTGCCAGATCAAAAAAAGCCTACAGATTTATCTTTTAGAAACATTCTTGGAAAACAAGAAATCAAAATGTCTTCACTTTATCCAACAGATACACACTTTGTAGCTTTGCTAATATATGCAAATTGTCTGATTGCTTGAAATTACTGATTAACCAGGCTGGAGAGCTGATTACCTGATTATCCAAGAGAAAAATAATTTAGCATGATTTTGTGTCATTTGACAGTCTAGATAATTTTCTAATTAATTTGAGTTTTCAAGTGAATTCAGAGATACTACTGAAAAAGAGAAAAGAGGTCAATGATCAGAATAAAAGTAAGCTTTCCAGGAATTTTCTTCTTACTATACTAATGTGCCAAATGTTATTGTTAGTTACAGACACTTCAGACACACACACACACAAAAAAATGAGAACTCAGACTTCCAAAAATACTCAAAAAAACAACCCAAAGTAAAATCTTCAATGCTCTGGTAAAGATATCTTGTAGAGCTGGACATAAGATTAGTGGTGCACTAGTCTGACACATGGCATCAAACTTGCAGTGTTACCAATATATTCTGAACTACACATGAAGCAATATGTAGCAGATATTTTGTCAATATGCTAAGAGAATAATAAATACTGGAAATACGTACTTGCCACTGAAAAGTTGTTGAGTGGATATGGCAGATCCACATCCTGGGGCTTCTCCTTATAGCCTATGAAAGAGCCATCTGTCTTTAGCAGGAAATATCTTGGCCGCCAGTTTTTTATATATTCTCCTAAAGGAGAAAAAAAAAGTTCATTAATACTGTAGAAAAAAACCCCACTTTGATATTAAAAAACATAACATATTATCAGTGTCTAACATTAATTACACCAAAATCTTTTCAGGCATTTTCAATTTACAGAAATCTTAACTCCCTACAAAATGGAATTGCAGTGGTTAGCCTGGACTATACAATGTCTCTGGAATAAGAAGCTAGAAGTACTGTACAGTAATATTCTGTAATTTTAAATTTTATCACACTATACTCTTCAAAATCTTACATCTTTACACCTATAAACACTTTGAAATTTGCTGCAGGCAAAAATAAGCACTATAGTTTGATTTTTAATAGCAAAATGAAATCTAAACTACAACAAGGTAGAACATTTATCCTGATGAGCCAAAGCAAAACTCATTAATTTCCTCAAATCATACACTAAACAAATACAAGAAAATTTTGGTAAGTAGGAGAACCTACACAAAATATACTTAATATATCTGAAAGAAAAAGGAATAAAAAAGAAAAGGCGAATCCAATTACCTTCTGAGAGGTAAGTCCCCCAACAAACCCACCACCTCCACCTTACACCTACCCCAGTCTGAGCAGAAGATTCTGAAAGCCATGAAATATTCGGGCAGAAACATACAGAACAGATCAGTAAAGATACAACAGATTAATTAATGCCACTTATTTGCTACTTAAGGGTGAAAAAAAATCTCTTTAGTAGCATTATACTTTACAATGCCACAACAAAATCTCAGCAACAACTTCATCTATATAGTGCAATTACTCACTTAAGTACATGTGTTCATATCTGTCCAACTTTTCCCGTCTTTGATTTCCATCGACTATGCAGAGTAAATAACATATGCATACGTACTTACTAAGTCTTTACATAAGCCACAGTTTCATCATTATACAATTAAACATGTTAAGTAAAAAAATGTATTAACAACGCAGAATTTCCAACCGTGCCGAGGACTTCTCATCATTTGCAAAATGCTTAGAAAAGACCACTCCAGCACCCTGTTAGCTGTAGCTACATAGCTTGTATACAATTCAAAGGTCACAAACAAGTTTACATCCGACACGAAGATTACCCCGTTAAAGGCTAATCTAAAAATTCATTAATCTCATCTTTACCTTTCTTCCATGAGAGCAATCAACTAATTAATACTGAAGTTCAACATGGGAATTGCTAATATGGCCTAGCTGAACTTGATCACAAGCGGTAAAGATTTTAACACTGCCCATGGGTTACAAATCTAACTAAAGCCATTTACATTTCCGATTTCCAACATGTATTTAAGCAGAGAAGTGGCACAGAGAGTAGGAGAAGAGGAAAAAGAAAAATTAACACCAGGTTATTTGTGATGACATGTGCCTCTTGCCCCTCAGAAGCAAAACTCTTCCTATCTAGTCCTGCTTCTAGATAGCAGGGTATCATCTTGATTTTTTTTTTTTAAAAATCTATTCATGTAAGTAGAAAAAAAATTGAAAAAGTCATGTTACTTAATTTGATCTCAAAATTAACAGAGCAAATACAGCACTAGTTACATTTGTATTGACTCAGAGCTGTCTATCTCAGTTCTCTGGTGCTAGTTTAGCTAGGAACACCCCTACTGACACTGCCAACCTGAACTGATTTCACAATGGGAAATCCCAGCCAATGTAAGAGCAAACAATAAAAAAAACAAAACAAAACAAAAAAACCCACACACAACAAACAAGCACAAAAACCAGGTATGAGAGTTTCCAGTTGGAGAAGAAATACAAGTGCAGTATGGGAAAATAAATATGTAACTTTAATACCAACAAGAGTGAAAAGACATATAATCATTACATGAAAAAGAAAAGACATTTTTTGAATTAAGTTTGCTGAATACTTGAAAATGAAATAATCATAGGCTTAAGTAAAGGTATGACTCATATTTAAGAATGTTTAAAAAATGCCCTATGGCAAATTTGCTGAAATCTGCATGAACTCAGAAGTTGAAGCCAAAACAAAACCTTATGTATCAGATCACCCAATGTAAGTTTTAAAAATATTAATATCCTTGTTGCTATCTTAAACAGACCATAAAGAGACTCTTCTGTACAATTCTAATAAATTATATCTTACTTAGTTGCAACAGTAAGTGATTGTTACTAGAGAAAGTGCGTGTCACTAGCTCTAAAATATATCTAAGATCTTAGGCTTCTCTAGAAGGTTAATTAAATGGTAGGCAGACACCTAAGACTACTGAAGAGTTCAAGGACAGCATAGAGAGAATACCAACATGCCTAAAACAGGTCAGCCATCCAGCAGTTCGGGTGTCAAAGACAGCCCTCCTTTCTGTAAGGAATAAACTGGACAGGCTCTGCTCTAAAAATCAGAGCTGACAGGGTAAGTACACTCATCAGTCAGTTCAAGAAAAAACAAGACTTCGTTTACTTACATACACACTCTTCAGAACTAAATCTGTAGAAAAGGAGACCCTTCTAGCAGGTGCTGTTAGAGACCCAGCCTAGTGCACATTTCCCTGATCGCTTACTCCCTCTTCTCCTCTTAGGGCAACATTTTAGATTTTATTTGGCTTCTACTAGGTACTCAGAAACTCTTAATCAGGAAAGAGAACAGATTTTTTATCATCTACTGAGTTACGTACTTGATGATCTGACTAGAAAAAAACCATTAGAGAAGTATGACTAGCACTTTCAAGCTCCTCTGAAGGGAGCTAGCGACTTTGGACAGAAGCTAATCACAAGAAGATATAAATATTGAATGACGTACGAGTACCAGTTTTCTCATGAGCACAGCTGTACCTCTGTCTTTGCCCTGCAAACTATAGCCAGACACAGGACAAGTAATTTAAAAGCAATTGCAAAATACTGTCTTCATAAGGATCCATATATTTCTTTCATAGATATATTTCTCTAAAGAATGTTTCTCCTGAACAATTCCCTAACATGAATCACAGACTTTTTCAAGACATCTGTACAAACACAAGCACATACCCCAAACCACTTAGTTTTGTCTTGAAATGACCAATATTCCAATCCCTCTTGATGGCCTATGCATGAATATTTATCATTTGCCCTTTATTTATTTTGTAATTTCATTAACAAATGGGAGAACACTTTTGAAGACTAAAGTAAACAGTGGTATCAGTGAACAGTTCACTTAGCTGCTTAAGTGGTTTAATGGCTCTCAAGAGGCACTCTAGGTGCTCTCTTACAACTGCATTCTTTCTACAGGATCTGCTTAAAGATAGAAAAACATTTTAGTCCATACTTATTAATAGACATGTGGTTACAGAACTGCTTTGAAAGAGAAATCCTCCATACAAAAAAATGCTATAACACATCAGAGTATTTGAAAAGAAAAAACTTCCATGTGTCTTCTAACTTACCAAGCCCTCATTAAAAAAAGTGTATTTTACAGTATGCACAATATTAAATTACTTTAAAGATATCTGGAGTGGATGTTTATCAAATATCTCAATACAAGAAAACAACAGGAAATTTACATCTAAAATTCATTAATTCAAGTGAGAAGAAATTCCATGCAAAAGGAGAAGTCCAGGAAGGCTAACCAAACCACAAGATATTCTGACAATTTGATGATGGAGCTGTGGTACTTAAAAAAGCAGTGGATCTGCCATAGAGAATTAATCAGTTTGTACCCCGCTTCCTGCTGAAAAAAATTAATGTAAGCTAAATTATTATTTTGCTTAAATTTACACCCTTCTAAGTTGAAAAACATGTTCTTTTAGGATCTGTTTACTAGACAGTAAGAAGAGGTTTCTAATTTCAACTACTGCAGCAGAGAAAGCCAAGTAATTCCTACATGATTTTAATTCTAGTCAAAAGTTTTTCAAGCTACTTGAGAAAAGGGGCACTAGAACATATACCTCACGGATACATACAAACAATAAATACACACAGAAAACACAACTTTGGAATCAGACTGAGATTATTGGTGGCTTCTTTTTTAATAACTACCAAGAAAATACACCCAAGAGATGAAATAAGGCATGAAATACATGAAAATGCAATCTGATCTTCATGCAAAATGCACCCTCAAACACACAGCTCTTTAAATAACATTGTATTTAATAATACACTGGCTAACAACAGCAATAAAGAATGCTTAATGAAGGTTTATTTAGAACATGACCTTTGTGGCTGGCTCTGTATTAGCCTCTGTACTGCAAGTTTAATGATTTTTCTTTTCTACCTGTGACAGCTAGTAACAGGAATCCTGCCTTCAAGACATTTCACAAAATATGTTTGCTCTAGTGATGCAATGTTTGTAGTTTTGATGCTGCTGAGGAGCTTCACACAGAAGAGCTTTCTAAGAAACCATATGAGCAGTCAACAAATCCATGTTAGACAAATGTACCACTCAGAGTTCATAATTTTTTTACTTCACCTCAGAACTGAAACTCTCTCTTCAAACATACACTTCACCTCAGATACGATGGTTGCTATTGTTAGTCTCACCACTTCTAATCCTAAGCATATGGAGATTTAGCTATTCTTGAAAAATTATTCAGTAATTTAAAATTAATCTTATGATTTTAAAAAAGTATTTTTTAAAAAATCACTTCTGCAAAACATCTACATTTTTCAATATGTAAATGGCTTTAGAGGTGTGAAGGAAATGTCTTTAATATACAGTGCTGATAAGCAACAGAAACCTGAGTTCAAAAACTTGGTTCCTTAAAAGAAGCAACAGCTGCCACACAGACATAAGTGAGATTTAAGGGAAGGAGATAAAAAAAAAAAAACCCACACCAGAAAGAAAGAAAAAAAAAAATCTGCCTCTTGTCTGTGTCACCGATCTACTAAAGTGGATTAATAGAAATAATATTGTTTGCCCTTTTTTTCTTTTTCTTTATTTTTTTATGGCACATTTTGTTAAATCAAAACTCCAGTTCCCTTACACTAATATATACCAAGGAGGGATGGGGAGGAATGAATTTATTTAAGCACATTAAAAAAAAATACATAAAAGTAAATAACACAAC